CTCATCTGTCCTTGATCTTGAGAGACTTCTCCCCAGCCTCCCTCTGAGCCCATAACTGACTTCCTGTTTCCTTGAGAAACTAGAATTAGAAGGTAGCTGCCCCAAGCATTCTGCCCCAAGCATCCCTGGTTCCAGGTCTACATCCTTTGGCTGCTCTTTTGTCAGCAAACGGCCAGTCCATGCTCCTAGAAAAGGCTCACCCTGCCACTTGTCTGTGAGACCCCAACCCACTGGCTATTCTGAGAAGCAGTCATACTATCCTTTCCCTCTTGCTATGTCCTGGGGTGCAAACACACCATCTTGTCCATCTGCTGGTTGTCACACCGTTGCTCTGCTTTTCTGTCTCCCCATCATGGCAGAGGTCTGCAACAGTAATCTTTATCTAATTCTCTGTAGGGCCCTGGAGCCCTCCCTCCTTTCACTTGCACTTGTAGTCAGAGTCCATAGAGGATCCCATGGAGTCACTTGATCCAGAGGGCAGATCCCAGGGTTACAACTGTAGCCCTGGGTATATCTGTTACCCCTCTTCCTTGGAATGTTTTCTTAACATGATTCCCAGAGCTCTGCAGGCTCCTGGGTCTTCTGTCTCACTGGCTGCTCTGTCTGTCTCATCTGGTCTCCTCATCTTCCTGAACTTAGTGTTGGAACTCCTCATGGCTCAGCCCTGGAACCTTTTATTTTTTATATCTTTGTATACGTTATATCCTGACAATTTCTAAACTTACGTCTTCAGCCCCAGTCCTTCCCTGATCGTTTGGTAGGCTCAGATACCCAGGTGTCTACTCAGCATCTCTACCTGGCTACCTAACAGGCACCCCAGACTTCAGCTGCCCAGGCTGAAATTCTTGATCCAAATCTGCTCTTGCAGGCTTTCCCATCTCAGTAATGGCCACCTCCTCCAGCCACTGTCCTGCATGCCACATCAAATCTATGAGGGAATAGTGCCTCTTCCTTCAGAATATATCTGGAATCTGATTACTTCTCAACACTTTGACAAAACCCCCGTCAAGCTACTATCTTGTCTTGCCTGGATATTGTTCTAGACTTGTCATTGTCTTCCCGTTTCCTCCCTCACTCCTCTCAAACTGTTCTTGACACACAGCTGGGGGATTCCTTTAACACACAGGCCAGATCATGTCCTCCTCTGCATGTACCTTCCAGTGGTGCGACATGCCATTGTCCACCACAGTAAGGATCTCACAGAGCCCTACACGGTTTCCCTTCATTTGGCCTCCCTCTGCTTCTTTGTTCTGTCTTCTTCCTTCCTGGTATTACACTGTTACTCAACACCACCCATCCTTTTCTGCTTCCTTGATCTCCACAGTGCTTGCTCACTTGTGTAATTTACTTGTTCTCTTTATTGTTTGACTTCCACTATTACAAAGTTAGATCCATGAGGCCCAGGATTTTTACCTGTGTTATTTATTGATCCCCAGACTCTTAGAAGGGAGTTTAATAAATATATGTTGACTGTGTGAATACATATCAAGGCATGTCCTTCAGTAGATTTCTGAAGCTTTACCTATGCTATGATTTCAGTTTCAATTCAGTTAAATTAATCCAGTTCTAGAAGAGAGAGAGAGAGAGGGTGTGAGTGTGGCTGTGTGGGTGTGGGTATGTCTGCTGAGGCTCAAAGGCTTAAATGGTATAAGCCATGTCTACAGTTTGGATATGGTTTGAGGGTAAGGGTCATGTGTTGGAAAGTTGGTCCCCAATGTGCCAGTATTGAGAGGTATAGAACCTGTCAGAGATAGGACTTAGTGCAAGGTAATTAGGAAAGTGGTGGCCCTGCTCTTGGAAGGGCCCTGGTTAGTTCCCAAGACAGCCAGTTGTTATAAAACAGTGAGGATGGCCCCTCAATCCCACTCTGCCTTCCTGTCTTGCTCTGTGATCACACCCTCTCCCCATGCTCTTGCTGTGATGCCTTCTGCTCTGCTGTGATGCAGCCAGGGGGGCCCTTACCACAGACTGAGCAGATGGGGTCTCCTGATCTTGGTCTTTTAACCTCCAAACCTGTGAGCTAAATAACCCCTTTTTCTATCCTCATGAATTTTGTCATAGCAACTGAAAATAAAGCAACGCATGGTGGTGTGGTCCTTACCTACAGGGACCTGCCAACTGACTGTGGAAATACAATAGGTCTCCTGACCTAACACAAGGCCGTCAGTGCCTACACGAAGAGAGGCAAAGCAAAGACTACCCAATGAGGACTTCTCACAAAAACTCTTACTTATGTCTTCAACCCTGTAATCTTTGAGATTCTTCAAACTGGGGGCTTTTAAGGTATTGTTTAATGTGATTCTGTGCACTTATATAGTGCCGTGCATGTTTTTTAATACTAAACAGTTACATACTTGCATTTAGTACATGAAACTCAGTGGAGGTTTTTCTTTTTGCTGAGTAGGTTGGCCATGTTAGGATCCCCCAGCGGTTATGCTGCAAAACTTCCTTTATGGAGCTGGGGCTTGGCGTTGAGTCACTTGAGTTAACTGAGGGTCTACTTCTTGATCTTCTGTTGTGAGTGGCCAAAGAATGAGTCAGACTGAATCTCTCCTGATGTTCTGAAACACTGATAAGCAAACCCCTGTTTGCCACAGACTGGCATTCTATGAGTTAAAAATCATGAATGCCCATGAGTGTGGTGGCCTTTGAGCACTGAGCCTGTTGTTGGTGGTAGGGGCACAGCCAGGTCTGCTGTAACAGCAGGGCTGTGAGCCCAGATGGGACCCAGGAGGCCCACAGCAGACAGGACACCTGTAACCCCCACTGGGATATCTTGCGTCCTTTAAGGTCTTGTAACCGTAATCCAAATAACTGTCAAGTTATTATGGTATGTTTATCTTACCTCAAGAACTACTGAAAAGTCATCACTTTTGCCAAGGGTATTCTGGGGAACACCCAGTGCTGCTGTTGCTGGTTGCCCTTCCCTCCCCTCTCCCTTCCCGTTTCTCCTTTTACATAATTGTGATATAATTCACATACCATAGAATGCATCTTTATTTTGGTCAGTATGGGGGTTAAACCTAGGGTGTCATGCGTGCCAGGCAAGCCCTCTCTACCACTGGAGCCATGTCCCTAGACTTTTTGTTTTGTATTTTCTTTTTGAGATAAGGGCTCCATAACTTTGTCATGCTGGGCTCAAACTCATGACCCTCCTGCCTCCACCTCCCAAGAAACTGGGATTACAGCTGTACACCACCATGCCTGGTAAAATGCATCCTTTTAAAGTGTGTACTTCAGTGGTTTTGCAGTCAAATGCTCTACCCCTGAGCTATGCCCCAGGTATACCACTGGTTGTTCATATATTCATAAAGCTATGCAACCATTACCACTGTCCAATTCCAGAACATTTTTGTTACCCCCAGAAGAAACTCCATACCTATTAGCAGTCCCATTGCCCTTTCCCCCAGCTCTTGGCAACCCCTGCTGTACTTTCTGTCTCTGTAGACTTGGTGACATTTTATATGAATGGAATGATGCAGCATGTGGTCTTTTGGGCTTGCCTTAGCATAATGCTTTCAAGGCTTATCCATGTTCTAGCATGAATCCATACTTACCACTTTTTATCAGTTGATGGGATTTGGGGTTGCTTTTACTTCTTGGCTATCGTGAATAATGATGCTATGAATAGTCATGTAAACTTTTTTTGTGGACATGTTTTCAACTCACTGTGTATGTAGCTTAGACTGAATTTGTGTGGTCACATGGAACTCAGTGTTTACATTTTGAGAAACTACCAAATGGTGTTCCAAAGTAGCTGTATCACTTGACACCAGCAGCGCGTCAGGACTCCAGTGCCTCTTTACCTTTGCCAACACTTTTTTTTTTCCTTTTATATAGTGCTGGAGTTCAAACCAAGGGTCTCACACATGCTCGGCAAGTGCTCTACCCCTGAGTCACATCTTAGCCCCTTGCTTCTTGGATTGTAGCCATCGCGGTATGTGTAGAGTGGCATCTCTTTGTGGCTTCAGTGTGCACTTCCCTAATGACTAGCCACGTAGAGCATCTCTTTATGTAACTACTGACCAGTTATTTGTCTTCTTTGGAGAAATTTCTGTTCAAATCCTTTTCCCATTTTAGAATTAGGTTATTTTTTTCTTAATGAGTTGTTTTGTGTATACACACATACATTTTATTTGTATGTATATATACAAATTTATGTGTATGTATTACACTTTATATATGCTTATCATATATAAAGTGTATATATATATATGTGTGTATATATATATATTTGTTTGAGACAGGGTCTCTCACTGTGCAGCTCAGTCTGGGATTACAGTGCACACCACTGCGGTTGGCTCTTAACGTAGTTTTAGATACTAGATCCTTATCACATATATGTTAGAAAATACTTTTTCCCATTTTGTGAATTGTCTTTTTACTTTCTAGATAATCTCTCTTGAAAAGATTTTTTTTAATTTTGTGAAGTCCAGTTAATCTATTTCTTCTGTAATGCTTGTGTCTGGTGTCATATCTGACATATTGTATAATCCAAAGTCACAAAGATTTATACCTTCGTCTTCTAAGAATTTTATAGTTTTAATTCTTAAATTTAGGTCTTTAATTTTTTTTTTTTTTTTTTTTGGTGGTACTGGCGTTTGAACTCAGGGCCTCACACTTGCTAGGCAGACACTCTACCACTTGATCCACTCTGCCAGCTTTTAATCTACTTTGAATTAATTTTTGTATATGTGTGAGATAGGGGTCCAACATCATTCTTTTGCATGTGTAAATCCAGTTGTCCCTACACCATTTGTTGAAAAGATTATTCTTTTTCTATTGAGTGGTCTTAACATTCTTGTTGAAAATTAATTAATGATAAATTAATTTATATCTGGGCTCTCAATTCTGTCCCATTTGTCATGTCTTTCCTCATGCCTGCCCTGCACTGTTTGGGTTGCAGCTGCTTTGTAGAATGTTTTAAATCAGAAAGAGTAAGTCTTCCAACTGTATTCTTATTCTTCAGGATTGTTTTTGGGTCCTCTGAATCCCTTGCATTTCCATACAAATTGTAGGATCACCTTGTCAATTTCTACAAAAAGACTGCTGATAAGCACTGACTGAATTGACTCACTTAAGGAGTACTGCTACCTTACCCATGAATGTAAGATGTTTTTCCATTTATTTAGGTCTTACTTTTTCTGTTTTGTAGAATATTTTGTCATTTTCAGTGTGTAAATCTTAGACATCTTTTGGTTAAGTTTTTTCCTAAGTGTTTCGTTCTTTCTGACAACTTTTTTTTCCCAGTGGGAAAGGGATTGAACTCTGAGCCTTATGCTTGCTAGGCAATGCCCTACCACTTGTGCTATGCTCCTAGCCCTCTTTTTGATGATATGACAGTGGAGTTAGGTTCCTGATTTTATTTTCAGACTGTGCGTTCATTGTAGGTGTATAGAAATGCAAATGATTTTGCGTATTGATCTTGTACCCTGCAATGTTGCTGAGCTCATTTACTGGTTCTAATAGTGTGTCTGTCTGTATTCCTTAGGATTTCCTATATATGCAGTAATGTCATTTGCAAATAAGGGATGGTTTTACCCCTTAGACTGAAGTATGGATGCTTTATATTTCTTTTTCTTGCCTAATTGCACTGGCTGGAACCTTCAGCATGATGTTGAATAGAAGTGTCTTGTTCTTGGTATTAGAGGTAAAGTTTTTGTCTTTGTCAGTAAGTATGACATTATCTGTGAAGTTTTCTTGGGTGCCCTTTAAGTCAAGGAAGTTCTCGTATATTCCTAGTTTGTCAAGTGTCCTTTCTTTCTTTCTTTTTTCTTTCTTTCTTTCTGTAGGTGTAGGACTTTCTGAAATGCTTGTTCTGCATTTATTGACATATTCGTGTTTCTCCTTGAGTCTGTTAATATGGTATATTGTACTGATTGATTTTTACATGTTAAACCATCTTTGATTCCTAGGCTAAATCCAACTTGGTTGTGCCAGCTAGTTATTTTATATGTTGCTGCATTCATTTTGCTAATATTTTGTTGAGAATTTTTCCTACTTTCATACAGAATATTGGTATCTGGCTTTCATTTCTTCTTAATGGCACTGTCTAGTTTTGATATGAGGATAATCCTGTCTTTATAGAATGTGTTAAGAAGTGTTCCCTTCTCTTCTATCTTTTCTGGAAGAGTTCATGATGGATTGCTTTTAATTGTTCTTTACCTTCATTTTTTCCTTCTATAATACTCTTTCTTTTTTCTCCTTTCTTTTTTCTGGGGATCAAACTCAGGGGAGCTTCGCATATGGTAGGCAAGTGCTCTACAATGAGCTGTAGCTCCTTAATTATTCCTTAAGTGTTTGGTAGAATTCACTAGTGAAACCATGCGATTCTGGACTTTTCTTTTTGGGAAGGTTTTTCCAGTTCTTAATTTAATCTCTTTGTCATAGTTCTATCCAGCTTTTCTGTTTATTCTTTAGTCAGTTTCAATAATCTGTGTCTTTCTAAGGATCTCCTCGTTTCATCTAGGTCACCTGATTTGTTGGCATACGGTTGTCTACCATATCCCTTTGTAATTCTTCCTACCTTTGGAAACACACCAGTAATGTCCTGTCTCATTCCTGATTTTAATTATTTGTGTGTTTTCTTCCTTTTGACTTTGGACTGGCTAGCTAAAATTTTGTCAATATTTTCAAATAACCAATTTTGTTTTGTTGGTTTTCTCTATTGTTTTTCAGCTCTAGTCTTTATTATTCCCTTTATTCTTTTTGCTTTGGGTTTAGTTTGCTTGTATTTTTCTAGTTTCTTAAGAAAGGAGCTGATTTTATTAATTTGAGATTTTCCTTCTTACTTTCTTTTTTTTTCTTTTCTTTTTTCTTTTCACAGTACTAGAGATTGAACTCAGGTCCTTGAGCTTTCTAGGCAAGTGCTCTACCATTTGAGCCACACCCCCAGTCCTTTTCATTTGTCTTGAAACAGGGTCTCACTGTTTAGCCCAATCTGGCCTGGAACTCATGATCCTCCTGTCTCTACCTCCTACGTGCTAGAATTACAGGTGTGCACACCATGCCAGGCAAGAATCTAAACTTTATACCCCTTACTCTTACCAAAGAAATTGGTCTGTAGTTGTCTTATCAAAAATCTGATTTATTTTCCCACTTTTGAAGTTTATTGGATCTGCTAAAAAAAAAAAAAGAGTCCAAAAATGATTTTGTGTTTACCTTAGAATAGTCTTTGAAACATCAGCAAGCAGCTCACGACTAGCAGCATTTTTATACTCTCCAGCTGTCCTTTCAGAAAAAGGATAGGAAGTAGGCCACATTTGTAATGTCTGCTCTAAGCTAATATAATCTGTTTTCTTTTATATCCAGGGAATTAATGCGCAAAATGGCGATTATACCAGACTGGCATACTTTGTATCCTCACATACGAAAATTCACACATTCAAGACCCTATTCTTCACCGTGTAGGGTAGATTCAAGGAATGGTTCCCAGAGTACCTTTAGATCTTCTTCTTCTTCAAGTGAGTATCAGAGCAAATGAACACCCACTAACAGTAGGTATCACTTATCTGTGCTCAACATGTACCAGGCCCAGTCTGACCTTCTTACGTCACTGAGTCACAATAGCTCCAAGAATTGGTTCTACAGCCTTTCCGTGTCCTCCATGGGGAAGCTGAGACATGGTCTGAGTAAATCACTTGCCTAACGTTTATGTACTTTTAAGTGGATGGGTCAGGATTCGAACCCAGGCAATGTGATTCTGGAATACATGTATTTTACATACTGTTATATGGTATTCTGACACTTTTTTTTTAAATTAGCATACTTTTTTTAAAAAGTAATTATAGGTTTGCAGAAAAATTGAACATAAAGTATAGAAAATTTCCACAGTACCTCTTATCTGTAGTCATGTAGACTTTCTTCTGTGTTATCTTCTAGTTTTATACTTTTGAGTTTTACATTTAGGTCTGTGACCCATTTTGAGTTAATTTAGTGAAGGGTGTAAGGTCTATGTTTAGAAACATTTTCTTACATGTGTATGTCCAACTGTTCCAGCACCATTTGTTGAAAAGATTACGTTTTCCTCATTGTATTACACTCATTTATTTGTTTCTTTGAATATTTTCATATGTATATGTATATAATATACTTTGATCATATTTACATTCTATTATCCTCTCTTTATTTATTTCTGTTGTGAATGGTAGAAAACAATTTATCATATGCCTTATCACAGTTTGTGTATCTGTTTACCCACTGAAGGACATTTTGGTTGCTTCTACATTTTGGCAAAAATAAATAAAGCTGTTGTGAATATCCTTGTACTGGTTTTTGTGTGGATATAAGTTTTCAATTCATTTGGGTTCTTTGCTCAGTTTTAAAAGCAATCAAATTTGACATTATTTCCCCAAATTATGTATCTTTTAATTTCATTCATTTCTTCCTTAACGCATTCATTTCTTCACAAATACTTTTTGAGCTGTAGTTTGTGGTGAGTACTGTAATAGGTGCTGAGAACAAAGAGATAGATCTGATGAAGGGCCTGCCCTGCAGGAGCCTGTAGTCTAGAGAGGAAGGTAGATGAGACCAAGGCTGTGGCATAGACCCAACACTGTGGGCACAGCCTGAGGAAGCAGAAGGGCTCGGGATCATTGTGAAAGGAGAGATTGCTCTTTGCCTTGTGAGACAGTCTAGTTAGAAGGAGCACTGGCACTTGGGTTGATTTACAGTTGGCCAGACTTTTAATCTCATGGTCTTCTGCATTTACAAAGGTGTCTGGGAAGTGTATACTTTATTTCTGATGGCCATGGGTCTACTCCAAGGGTCTGTGTCTAAGGAAAAAGTTACTAGATATAGTAAGGATTAACTTTGCAGTTTCTGACACAAGAACGTACAATAAAAAATAGATTCATTCCAGCTCAATAACTCCATCTTTACAATGTATTTTGAATATGTCTTAGTTTATTTAACTAATCTTCTAATATTACAAAGAAGACTAGAGTGCAGTGGAACTACTGGATTAAAGGCATTCATACTTTTGGGGTTTTGATGAATACTACCAAATGACTCTCCCACAAACAATGCCAACAAATATTCATTTCTAAGTTTCCTAACACAGAATATAATCCTTAATATCTTGCCCATTTGATATGCAAAAGTAAATCCCAAAATTAATTTACATTTCTTCCATAGTGAAGAACTCTTTTTTGAGTTACCTGTACATATTCTTTGCCCATTTACCTACTGTGGGTAGGTTTTTATTAGTGATTAATATGAGCTCTCTTGGTGTTCTGTGACTTTATGTGCCTTTTGTGCCCAACACATATTTCTTCTTTACTTGTTTTTATTTTATTTCTATTGATAGCATGAAGTTATATGTAAATACACATAGAGAGAGATATATATGTTATATGTGTTCTATGTATCTATATATGTATATATTTAACTTTCAAAAGTAAAAAAGTTTTGCATTATCTATCTGTCCATCCATTTTATTTCTTTTTTGATGTAGTTGGGTGTATCAACATTTGGTATATATGTTAAGGGTTGTTGTCTTCTCTTGGTGGATTGTTCCCTTTATTAATATGAAGTGACCATTGTCTCTTCTGACTAATTTTTGTCTGAGGTCTGCTTTATCATATCTAAGTATAACTACTCTTATCTGTTTGCGGGGGGTGGGAGGGTGGGCTTTGCTTAGAAGATCTTTTTCCACCCTTTCACTTGAAGCCAATGTTTGTATTTGTAGTGAGATGTGTTACTTGTAAGCAACAAATGGTTGGGCTTGATTTTTAATCCAACTGGCTATGTTATGTCTTTTGATTAGGGAATTGAGGCTGTTAACATTCAGTGTTAATATTGAAAGGTATATAGTATTTCTAGTCATTTTCCCCTATTCCTTGTTTGCTAATCTACTTGGTTAGTGGGGTTTATTCTTTCTTGCATTTTTCCTGCCTAATTTCTAGCTTCTTCATCTGAGGGCAGGATTTCTTTAAATATTTTTTGGCAGTGCTGGTTTGGTGGTCATGAATTCCTTTAGTTTTTGTGGAAGGTTTTAATTTCTCCTTCAATTAGGAAGGAGAATTTTGCTAGATAGACTAGTCTAGGTTGATAGTTGTTTTCTTTTAGGGCCTGAAATATATTTTTCCATGCCCTCCTTGTGTTTAAGATATTGAGAAAGCTGAGGTAATTCAATGGGTTTGCCTTTATATGTGATCTGTCACTTCTCTTTTGTAGCTTTCAATATCTTTTTAAAACAACTATGGTTTTGGTGTTTTGTTTTTCATACATGTATGTGGATTCATAGATATATGACCATGTAACTTATATAACATAGACTTTATTAAATAAGTACAGTTAATATTAGTTTCTTTTTAAGATGTTTTTGTCTTTGTATTTCAGCTGGAATTGTTTTTATTGGCCTGACTTCATATTACTAGTTCTTTCTTCTACCATTTATAGCCTGCTACTAAGTCAAACAATGAGTTCTGCACTTCTGATGCTATGTTTTAATTTGTAGCTTTTTTTGTGTGCTCTTTAAAATGTTTCCATTTCCCTGTGGAGATCCCCCATATGTTAAGCATGTCTTCAACTTTTTCCTTTAATCTGTTTAGCATATTTCCCAATCTTAGTTTTAATATCTGAGCATTTCTTTTTTGCTTTCACCCCCATGGGTCTTCTTCTGGTGACTATTTTTGCTCTTGATTAGGTCATCTTTTCTTCTCATTTGCCTTGCCATTAAAAAAATAATGACAGATATTTGTGTAAGAGACAGTAAAGACAGAAATAAATAATATTTATGGCTAGAAAGGAATGACTCTTCTTCTCTTAGGCCTTCTGGCTTTCAATGAGGTGGATGGACTAAGTGTCACCTCTAAGGTGAGCTGTTTCTGGACTTTGTTGCAGTTTCATTGTATTTAGGTATGCTAGTTTCACATTCTTTCCTACATTGGGCCTGAAATGTGAACACTGGCGAGACCCCAGGGATTTCTGTTTTACAGCCCAACTGTCAGCTTGATATATTGGGGGGCATCTCTTTCTGCTTCACAGGCAATCTGCCATGGGGGGAGGCATTCTTTTTGTTCTCCAGCTCCCCCCTTGGCATTTTGCATGTCAGGAGATCTCTGTCTGTCTGGCTTCACTGCCTTGAGCCTCCAGCGACCTTCTGATAGTCATTCCGCAAAGGCCACATGTGCTTCAGAGAGATTTGCCTTGGCTCTTCTCTGGACACAGTCTTTGGTGAACATCTGCCTGGGCTTGTGTAAAACCTAATGTGCCTTAGGGTGTATCACACAGCTCTCCTGTCACATGCCTGGTCTCTGGTGTGCTCCTTATGTGCACTTGCTCCTAAGATTGTAGTCTGCCCACCAGTCCTCATGTGGCTAATAAATAGTGGGTTGTTTCTTCTTACCCTGTTTGCAGTACATTCTGTTTTCCCCCACAGGTCTGCAGGAAGAGAGTTATCCTTCTGGACAACTGAGGAATGGCTTGTCCTTCCTAGAATTTAGCTTCTGTGAGTCCTCAGATCTCTGATAGATTTTTACCCTATATATATTTTTAGCTTATCCCACTTGTTCTCATTGTTAGGATGAGAGTGACAGTCTGTTGTGACTTTCTGGATACTAAGTGGATGCAGGAAAATTTGTCAAAGATGTCATTAATTTGTATTCCCTGTAGCAGGATGCAAGCTTTGGTACTGCTTTCATTTCAGTCTTAGAAGTTGCATTAGGCATATGAAATGGAAAGTTTTCCTTCAAGAAATTTCACATAGTTTCTAGTCAATATTTTCTGCTACCTTTAAATTGCAGTTATTTAGTGCAAAGTTGGGGCTTCTTGGCAAGGAATTAAAACAATCCATGGAAAGTCCAAGGAAAGATTTTAAGATGGAGGTGTGTGTTGGCAAGAGGGATCCCCTGCAGCACTCGTGGGTGGAGGGAGGATGGTGTGTACCAGCTGATCCTGAGTCACTACTCCTGCAGCTGATCCTGCAGCTGCCACTACTAACTGTAAACCAAATGCTTTTGAGAGTCTTGTGACAGTTGGACAAGAAGGAAGTGTGGATGCCTCACCTTCTTGAGCATGCTCAGAAGTCTCCTGGGAGATTTCAGCTTCTCCTCTTCCCTCAGGTCTCTGAGCTTCGTCCCTGTTTGCCTTCTCCTAGCTTCATGCCCAGAGATATAGTCTGTAACCAAAACAAGCGTCCCATGCTGACTTCCCTAGGAGGCCTGTATCACATATCTTTCTGCCCATCTGACTTAATGCTTATACCTCAGCTATAGACCACTCACACATGAGCTGACCAAATGACCTCCCAATGACCCCTTGTTCTCCTCTTCAGCCAATGGCAGCATCCTTGGTCTACTTCCTTATGTCTAGCACTGAGTCTCCTTGATCCCTCTGCTTCTTTAACATCCCCAGCCAAGCTATTTCAAGACCTCATCAACTTCAGAACTGATAGGTCACGCCTGCAGCCTGCCTGTTTCTTTTCCACATTCAGAGGTACAACCTGTTCAAGTCACAGTTGCCTCCTCCTGGCCTCTTGGCATAGCCTCATCTTTGGTTTTTCCCTTGAATCTTGTCCCTTTGGTGTGTTCTCTACATAGCAGCCAGAATGATTTTTTTAAACACATGTGTTAATGTTGCTTTCCTGAGGGACACCCTCTCACCCAGCCTATGTGCACTGGCCCCGGCCTTCCCTGATCCAGTGCTTACTGCTCTGCCTCTTGCCTTGTTGCATGCCCCACCCCCACTCTGGCGTCTTCACTTTCCTGGACAGACTGTGCTCATTCCTGCGTAGGCGATCTTTCCTGGTTGCTATGACCTTCCTGTTTAGCATGTTGTCGCATCAGCTTTCTGGCTAGTTGACTCAGTTTTACCATTCTGGTTCCAGCTTGATGAGAAATTCTCCTTCCAAGAGAGATGACTCGTCACCCCTCCCTGGCTCTTGCTTATGAGTAATAGAAAAGATGAGGCAGTGGTAGAGCATCTAGCACGCATCACATCCCAAGTCTTGTGAGGAAAGGGCTGCTGATAGGCTGGGGTTACCAAGCTTTTGTAACTCACAGGAGGAATGTACCAGGCCACCATCATTGTCAGCCTCTTCCTGCACAATCGGTTGTAGAATATCAAACTGAACAGTCACATCTTCAGTCTCGTGGTACCATTGGTACTATAAATTGGTTTGGAGTTACCACATGTACTTGGTCCTGCCTGAAGTCCCATGGATGTTTTTTTTGAATCAGGATGGAGGAGAGGGAGGATTGTAGCTTGTCACCTCCCACTGTTGCCACATAGACCCCTGGTACCTAAAACATCGTTAGGACACTCTTCCTTTCCCCTCAGCAAATTCAAGCCCCTGAATACTTACTTGAGTATTTGAAGCACCTTTCCATGGCTTGCCATCTTAGAAAGAGAAAAAACCTGGACTTAAGAATCACATGTTTCTCTCTCAAAAATTGTCAGGGCCTAGCAAGCATGAGGCCTTGAGTTCAAACCCCAGTACCACCAAAAATAAAGAAAACTCTCCTTAAAAATTGTCAGGGCCATAAAGGTCATGTGATACCATGAAGATTGGTTTGAATATTACTTCCCAACTGATTTTCCCAATATTCATGTTTTTCTTCCAATATCCCATGTCCTTTTAAGGGAAGATTGTTTCCCCCTTTTTTCCTTACTAATGTCATTATTGTTATTCTGTACTGACCAAATTTCAGAGGTGAAAAATGACTGGAGATTTTCCTTTCTAAGTTATCAAATGATTAGATGCATAACCTAAATATAGAAGAAGTACTGCTTGGTTCTGTTAAACACTGCAATGTTTTTTATTCAGTATCTTTTCTTAAATATGTTTAATAAATAGTTGTATCTCTTTTATAGCCACAGCTTTTGCAAATCCAACACTATCCTTCTTAGATGTTGAACGGATTTTATTTCAAAAAATTACTGATAAAAGAGATGAATTGAAAAAAGTCTTCGAGCTGCTTGATGTGGATCAGAATCTGACGGTGACAAAGAGTGAACTGAGAGGAGCCATCACAACTTTCCTGTTGCCACTCACCAGAGAGCAGTTCCAAGATGTGCTGGCTCAGGTACAGTGCATGGTGACTGACCACTTAGCACAGCCCATCCTGGAAGCACCAGAGCAGGTCCTAGGAGCATGACACCTATTCTGCCTCTTTTTTCCCACTGGTTCAAATGAGAAGTTGACATGGTGTTTACTTTTCACAGTTCACTTAAGCTCTAGCCAATTTGCCTGACCACAATTGGACATAGTTTGCACATAGCAATGTAGCATGAATCCATTATTTTCTTTTAGTTTTTTTTTAAGCTTCCAAATAAAAGTAGTAGCTGGTTAACTTACATGTTTGAGTCCAGTATTTTGGCATTTGTTCCTGCACTACAGGGTACTGAACACCTGCTATATTGCACAGCCAGTGCGAGGCATGGGTGCGTATAGGCCCCACCCCTGAGGAACTCTCGGCCCAGGGGGACCTGTTTGGGAGCTTCAGGGGAAGCGCCATCTGTAATATCGGGTGGTAGTTCAGGAAGGCTGTTTGGGAAGGGGTCTTTAACTTCGTTTCCACTGAGTTTGGAGTGAAATTAGCTAGATGACAGAGGAAGGAAAGGTCAGCAAGTGTAGGCAGAGGGAACAGTCCATGGGAAAGCCTGAGACCTGCATCAGCCTGCCATGGTTATTCAGGGAATTGGGTGGATTCATTTATATCTGAAGTGAAGGATATGGGTCAGGTTGTGGCTTAAAGGCCAGCCCAAGAAAGTGCTTTGTAAAAAGAGTTTGATATTTATTCTAGAAGCCCTCAGAAACCAGAGCAGGGTGTGCAGCAAGGGGTAATGAAAGGACTTGGGGAGGTTCTTGGAGGATGAGGGTCCTTGGGTCAGCCAATTTGGTACCAACTAGAGGGATGGAAAGAGTAAAAGTGTGGTTCATTCCCTCAGGGCATGTATGAAGTGCAGTAGGAATTAAATACTCCCAAAATAAGTCTGTATCAATATAGCAATACAAGAGTGGAGGCATTAGTCTAAAATATCAGTAGTATTCCTTCCAACTCAAACCAAATTTGCACGCACACATGCACACGTGCACACGTGCACACATGCACACACAGACATTTTACGCATTTGTCTGTTCTTAATCAACCTGGCTTCCTGCTATTTCATAGCATTTAAAAACCTATTTCTTTTTTAGAACTTAGTATATGTTCTAACCCAATCCAATTTGCATACTCTCAACACAAGGGAATGATGTGTATGAAAACAAACAGCTCAGTGAATTCTAGATACCTCCACCCAGTTCAATTCCTAGTCTTAACCTCAGGGACTGACTCTTCATTTCTTTAACTGAGTTAAAAAACAAACAAACCTGTAGTTCAGCTGAGCCTGGTGGTACACACCTATAATCCCAGTGTTAACGGCAATGTTGCAGTCTGTGATCAGAAGATTTCTAAATTCTTTGTGTCCCATGTAGAAGAATCCATGGCAGGACACATGGGTGTAATGGAGTTTATTAAAATTTAGGGAGGGAAATTACAAAAGGGATCCTGGTGGGACCAGGTAGAAGCTGGAAGCAGAGAGCGTCTTTCTCTTTTCCAGGTGTTTTAAAACTTATGCTAACCTATGGGAAGGGAAGAACCCGGTGATACCACCATTAATTGATGAGTGGGGAGGAGCCCGGTTGGTCCCTGTGCCAGGAGAGGGTGGCTTGAGTTGTACTTGAACTAGGGTGTGAATAACCACACATTTACAACTGAAAAGAAGGCTCAGAGAAAGAGAAGAATGTTCAATCTGAAATACAACATTGAGTCATATATGTTCTAAGAGTCCCAAACTTTCCCGAATTCTAGCCTGCCCACGAGCACTAGCAGGCAGATCTCAAATTTGAGGCCAGTGTGGGCTATATAGTGAGACTGTCTCAAAAAACTGAAAGTCTTGTGAATACCACATTACCATTTCAAGGTTTTCTCTTCCCTTTAGTTTTGTCTTTTCCTGAATTGGGGGCATTTTCCCCCATGTTTCCTCAAATATTTTCTTCTGCCTCATTCTCTCCTCTCTCAGACATTTGATATTGTACCCCTTGCTCCTGAGGCTCTGTTTATTTTAAAAAATTTATTATCCTTACTGTTTCTCAGAGTAGATATTTACTAATTTATCTTCAAATTCACCAACTCTTTCTTTTTCTCTCCATTCTGCTACTGTCTACTCAGTACATTTTTAATTTTAGACATTGCATACTGTGGTCCTAGACTTTCCATTGGCTTCTTTATGTAAGCTCTGTTCACTTGCTTGGATCTCCTGTTTCTCTTCAGTATGAGCATAGTGAACATAGGTAAATGGCTTCCTTGAGGTCCTTGTCTGCTAAGTCTACTATGCCACTCATCTGGGTGGCCTGCACTGATTGTCATAGTTCCCTGATTGTTCTTATTTGAGTACAGACTACAACTATCCAACAGAAATGTAATGTGAGTCACATACATAACTTAACATTTTCTAGTAGCCACATTAAGAGATTAAAAAATAAGTGAAATTAATTTTAATATTAGTTTCATCCAACCAACTATATTCAAAATATTATTTCATTTTAACATAAAATCAGTTAAAATTGGTAATATTTTACATTTTTTCAAGTATTAAGGTCTTAAAATTTGGTAAATATACACTTTATACTTAAAGCAGACCTTAATTTGGACACTGAATTTCCACTGGAAATACTCCATCTGTCTTTTTTCCTGTTTTGCAGTGCTCAGGTTTGAATCCAGGGACTTACACACACTAGGCAAGTGCTCTACCACTGAGCTATATCCCTAGCCCTTCATCTGTATTTTGATTTTATAAAATTTATAATTTAAATACTATACTCAGATGCACAGCTATTTCGAACTACTTAATGTTTTTCAATAATTGAACTAATATAATTTTAAAATTTAAATTAATTAAAATTAAATAATGCCAAAATTTGGTTCTTCAGTTACATTGGCCGTATTTCAAGTGCTCAATAGCTACACTTGGCTATGGCTGCTTATTAGATAGTACAGTGCTGAGCACTGTGAGTGGTGTGTCATGGAGACTCTGGATTCTGTTACAGTCCTCTGAAGACTGTTGATGCTTTTGTTTTGACTGGCAGTTTACTTGCAAACTGTCTCCTTAGCAGTGTGCAGTAGCTCGTATTTCAGTTGGGGTCTTTTATCTTTAGCTGGGCCTTTGCCAGTTGGACTTGCATGTGCCTTCAGGTCAGCTGGAAACTTGGATAGGGTTTATACTCATATAGTGGACTCTCTCTGTCTCTCTCTCTCTCAATCTCTCTCCCCAAATCTTTCTCTCTCTCTCTTTCAGAACTGTGGGATCCTTCACATTTTCTAGTGGCTGTGGTTGCCTTGGGTTCTGTGGCTGGTCCTTTAGGCCACAAAGACAGTGGGTTTTCTACCTGGGTTTCAGCCACTCTGTGCTGGGCTATGACTGTGCCCTGCCCCCAGGCTAAAAGCCAAAGAACAGGAAATTCCTGTCATACCTGCCCTTCCTCTAAGTTTTGACTCCCTTCAAAATCTGCCTGCTTTTCTTTACTCTCTAGTGACTTTCACTACTTATTATTATTGTTATTTTGTGTTTTCACCAGAGTTCATAGTTGTTTTCTGGGAAGGGCTGGTCTGTTGACTTTCTCTGCTTTTGCCGTTTCTTTTTAAACAAATGCAAAGGTGCAGAAAAGCTGGAAGTATAGTACAAAGTATGTATTCCCTTCAAACAAGGACACTGTCCTCTACTAGCCATGATGACCCATCCATCAAAATAAAGAAGTTCCCACTGACTCATTATCCCATCTCAGCTCCAGAGCCCAGCTAGGTTTTCCCAGTTGTCCCACAAATGCCTTATAGGATCCAGGTCAGGCATTTGGTTCCTTTTTTATCTCTCTTTCTCTCCCTCTCTCTTTCTCTCCCCGCCCTCAGAGGTACTGGAGGTTTGAACTCAGGGTCTCACGCTTACTAGCCCCAGTCCTTCCATCAGTTTGGTCTCTTTCGGTCTAGAACAGTTTTGCAGTCTTTCCTTAGCTGGCTGACCTTAGCTCTGGAAACTGCACACCTGCTATTGTGTAGGAGGCCCTTGGTTTGTGTTTATCTGATCTCTGGTGACCAGATGCAGGCTGGCGCCTTGGGCAGAAATATCACAGCAGCTATGCTGTGTCCTTCTCATTGCACTTTACCAGGCTGTGCATGATTCAGTCTGTCCTGATCTCTGCTGATGCTCACTTTGATCTCTTGATTGAGGCAGGACCTGTCAGCTGTTTCATGGTGCACACTTTGTAATTAGTAAATACTTAGCGAGGGAAACTTTGAAATATTTTACTGCTCATCTGATGTTCAATTTATTATTTATATATTTGCAGGCCTTAAGATTTCCTAGTAAGTGAGTACATCACTTAATTATTTATTTGATATTTAAATTATCCCCAGTTGGCCAGTAGGAGACTCTTCAGGCTGCTTTCTGTGTCCTTTGACATGTCCCCATTGTTTTGCACTTCTTCACTTTCTACGATGCTCCAAGCTGATCTGCACTTCCCTAACTTTGGTCTTAGAATCAGTCTTTTCCAAAGGACTGGGGTTTGTTTGAATGAAAAAGCCCCACATGGGCACTGGGCTGCTCATGCCATTGGCAGGCCACCACTGCCAGCCTCTCCATGGGCAGAGCTCTAGGAGCCACACGTGGACACACGCATTTATATCTACATTCATTTCTGTGTCTGTCTTTCTCAGTATATTGAAATCTCTGAGTTCAAACCAATACTCCAGGGATCTTTCAGGTTTCTTCTTCCAGGGTTCTAACTACCTCCCCACTGAGTGAGAAACTTTCTTCTGACATCTTTGGTATATTTATTTGTTGATCCACCTCTTTGTTCTATGACTTGTCTCTTAGCCCGGCATTTCCTCTCCACACATAGATGCCCTCTTTGCTCGACTGGGATGATGCTGTTCTCACCCCATATCCTCTTCTGGACCACAGTGGCTTCCCAAAGCTGTAAACAGCATCTGATGATTTTAAGACTGGTGGAACACAGGGAGGAAGAAGGGAGACAAAAAACTGTTCTCTTCCTTTTTCCTTTTTTTTAAAAAAAAAAAGTTTTCCTTCAGGGAGCTGGCGGCTCACACCTATAATCCTAGCTACTCAGGAAGCAGAGAACAGGAGGATCACAGTTCAAAGCCATTCTGGGTACATAGTTCCTGAAACCCTATCTCAAAAAATACCTACACACACACACACACACACACACACACACACACACACACACATACAAAGGACTGGTGGAGTGGCTCAAGGTGTAGGCCTTGAGTTCAAGCCCCTGTACTACAAAAAACCAGAAAATGTTTTCCTCTTTATTTGCTCCTAGAATTCCACAAATGGTGCATACTGATTTTTTCATGTCACCCTTTGTTGTTATCTATATTTTTAATAACATCTTTATTAAAGTAGAATTTACATATCATAAAGTTCATCCCTTTAACATTTACATATTGGGTTTTAAAAATTCACCAGATAATCCTTTATCTGGCTTATTTTTTGCAAACTGCCTTTTTAAAACAAATGATTTGCTTTTAATTATAAATATCATGTATGATGATGCCTTTTGCAAAACCAATAAATATAAGCACAGATTTTAAACATGTATAAAATGGGTATTTTTGATAGATTCACAGTTGTGCAACTCTCACCATTGTCTGATCTGAGGACATTGTCATTATTCTGTGCCCATTAGTGGTCATTCTCAATTCTCTTACCTGTACCTGAAAACAATTGATCTGCTGTCACTGCAGAAGCTAAGTATCTCATAAAAATGGAGTCATACTGTACGTGATCTTTTTCATCTGGCTTCTTTCACTTAGCATGTTTTCAAGGTTCACCCACATTGTGCCATAAATCCGAGCTTCATTCATTTTTATGGCTGCATCACAGTCAATTGTGTATACCAAGTGTTATTTACGCTTGTATCAGCTGATGGACCCAGTGAATTGTTCTCACTTCTGGACTTTTGTGAACATGGACACACGAGGCTTTGGTATATCCTGTTCTTTCCTTTCTTGGGCACATATCTAAGAGCGGAATTGCTGTGTCATATGGTAATGTTCTCTGACGTTTAAAGACCATTTGTTCTGGTAAACATTGCATCAATTTCTTCATCTGCTTGATTTAGCTGACACTTTACCAAATAGAGAGTTAAAGTATTATTTCCTGCTATGTGTCCTTGTAGTCATGATCTAATGTTAATTTACAATTTTGACAATCTTCCCAAGCTAATTAGCTATGCAGGAAGAGAAAAAGTACAGAAAAATGTGTATCTGTTTTTTAAAGTGACATCTGTTTTTAAAAGAAGTCACTGAAAACTGAAGAACTTCAAAGACTTGGACAGAGCAGGACTTGGTAGTCTCTCCTAAACAGCAGGCTTGCTTCCCTGGAACTTTGAGATGACTGGACAGGAGGGTCAGTAGAGGCCTGAGAATATATCAGTTACCAGAGGCCAAGGTCAATAGGAACAAAGTGTGGCTTCCCTGCTCTGTGCCTAGCCACACAGACAGACTTCTCTAGATCTTTTTATGATTAACCCATGGGTGACACACATTTCCTTCTCAGAGGTTGGTGGAAGCCTAACTGGAAACTAGTGAAACTAGTAAAAGATTTCATGGTCTTTTATCCTTGAAATTCGAAAAGAATTTTCCAGTTTTCCTGAACTTTTTTTCAAGAACTACGTCGGGAATGTTTTCATGTAGTATTGTAATGATTGGTCAGGGCAAGAAGTTACAAGATCTGTGATCCACCTTGCACCTTAGTATCCACAAAGAGTAATGCAAATTTTGTGTTACTTTAAATGTGACCTTAGCCTCTGAGTATTAATGTACAGCATTTTAAAATAAGTTAAATGAGTAAGTAGTCCAATGAAGAAAAACAAAGCTGCGCCCTGAGCCCAGTGATTGCGCTAGGCCTGGGGTCTCCCTTGATGATACTTACCAACATTGTGGGTACTCATTTTACCCTCACCATCTATAGCCCCAGTCTAAGTATTTGTTTCCTCCAATTCATCTTTGGATGGTTTTGATAACTAAACACTTGTAGCAGTTTGTAAATCCTGAAAAGATGAATTCTAAGCAGAGCCTTATCTTTGGACTGGTTCCTTTGATTGTGCTCAGCTTTCGAGACCAATCCTGGGAAGAATTTGTCTGCCACATTAGAATTTGCAGAAAATGTGATGACGCTGGGCTCCATGATGGCCTTCCCTTGTTGACAGGTTACTAGGGTAGAGGGATGGCTGGGACTCTGGCACTTAATGGCAGTGCCATGTGAGGTGGTTATGCTGCAGGAAAGGACATCATCCCCGGCAGGTGTCTAGGGCTGCTACAGCAAACCCTGAAAGCGCCTGTGCCATTTGTAAAGTCTAAGTTTCTTCCCTTGCTCATTCACTCTTACCACTACCAAGAGAGCATCCAACCTTTTTTTTTTAATTTTTATTTTTTTATTCATATGTGCATACAATGCTTGAGTCATTTCTCCCCCCTGCCCCTACCCCCTTCCTTACCACCCATTCTGCCCCCTCCTTCTCCCCACCACCCCCTTGACACCCGGCAGAAACTATTTTGCCCTTATCTCTAATTTTGTTGAAGGGAGAGTATAAGCAATAATAGGAAGGAACAAGGGTTTTTGCTAGTTGAGATAAGGATAGCTATACAGGGAGTTGACTCATCCAAACTTGAACTACACACTTAACCTGTTCTTGCCCTCCTTCTGTCAGATTAGGGAAACTTTGAAGTGTTCACTCATAATTTTAGCTAGTGAAAACTGCAGTATGAGAAACAGAAGTCATGGGTGTCCGTTCTAGGAAAAGCCTCTATAGAGGCCCACCTGTAAGCCAGTGTCCCTGGTCTCACTTCCTCATTCCACATGTTTTAGATAGCAAGTAGACATTTATCCCTTGGGGGAGACTGAGATAAGCATGCTAGGCCTAGTGGCTGCCATCTCAAGGACAAATAAATGTCGACCTTGATTGCGTAGACTTGTAGCCATTCAACTGTGTGGGGTGCTGACTGTGTGTCCATGCAAAGCTTAAAAATATGTTTACACTGAGTCTGTACCAGGCTGGCGGTATGGCTCAGGTGGCAGAGAGCCTGCCTAGCAAGTGCAAGACCCTGAGTTCAAATCCCAGGACTGAAAAAAAACCAAGAGAGAGACACAGATCACCATGCTCGGCTCTTAAAGAAGTGAAAAAGATTGTGACGGAGCACTCTATTGAGTATATACTTATGTTTATTTAAATTCTAAATCCATAATGCTTTTTGAATAATTATTTTCACTAAAATTTGACTTTTTATTTAGAGATCATTTTGAACCTTCAGGAAATTTGCCACCATATGACCCAAATCATTCTCATATACCCTTTACTTAGACTTACCCATCATGAACAGTTTACCTCACTGTCCATGTGTGTATATGCGTGTGAGTATGTGTACATAAGCAACATAGTCAACAAATGCAATTTTTAAAAAAAATTTGAAAGCTGCTTGTTTAATACTTTGATCTGTATTTCCTAAGGACAAGAACTATTCTGGGTCTGGGGATATAGCTCAGTGGTAGAGCACTTGCCTAGCATGCACAGCCTGCTTAAAAGGCTCTGGGTTTGATCCCCAGCACCATAAAAACAACAACAACAAAAGAACTGCTCTCTTACATCATCGCAGAACAGATACCAACTTCAGTAAATTAAACATTGAGAAAAATACATTTCGTTTAATCTAGAATTCATGTTGATCCACTTGACCCAATAGGGTATTTTATAGAATTTTTAACTTAAAAATTACCTTTTCTAGCTTAAAACTATGTGACTATATAGGAAGTTCATATGACATTTGGAGTGTAAAATTACACTTTTGCCTTGGTTTCTAATACATGTTAGAATATATTTGTGTTAATTTTATTTTACCTTTTAGGTAGATTTTAGATTTATCTAGATTTAGATTTTAGATTAATTGTGGAGATGACACGTTGACTTTCAGTTGAGCACAGACTGGCATTAGTGTTTGGCTTTTTGAGGATGTATTTCATCTTGGACAACTGGCTAAGTAATTGTAAATGTTTAGTAGAATGCTCAGCAGACATTCTGTAATGAAAGACATGATTTACAAACTTACCTCCTGTGCATCGCTTGGACCGTCATTCTGTAACACTGTCATTCTTCTTGTTTGAATGTAGATCCCTCTTACGAGCTCTGGGAATGTGCCCTACCTTGAATTCCTGTCCAGGTTTGGTGGAATTAACCTAAATATAAATTGTATGAAGAGGTAAGTGTTTTGTTCATGCCTATGAAAATGTGAAATTTAAAATTTTGAAAAAGAACTATGACATAAAACCACTAGATCTCATGATCCTCCAGCCCCAGCCTCCTGAATACTGGAATTATAGACATGTACGCCAACCTGACTTATATCTAGATCTATGAGGGAAAAGGTGATAGAGATGGTCCATGCAGAATTTAATGGGTTGATCCTCAGTCACAAATTTATTTAGAGAAGATTCTAGCATCTATAAAATATAGTTCAGAATGAGAGAACTGATGCTGTAATACAATGTAAACATAGCAAGTTAAAATCAGATAAACTATTTTTATACAACATATTTTAGATTTGGAAATAATATATATATATTTTTCATTGTGGTGGCACTGGGGTTTGAGGTCAGGGCCTTGTGCTTGCAAGGCAGGTGCTGTACCACTTGAACCACACCTCAAGCCCTTTGTTCTTTAGTTATTTTTTTAATAGGGTCTCACCATACATGCCCAGGCAGGTCTGGATCATGAGCCTCCTATTTAGACTTACTGCACAGCTGGGATGACAGGCACATGCCGCCACACCAAGCTTTTACTGAGTGAGATGGTCTTGCAAACTTTTTGCCTGAATTGGCCTCAAACTGCTATCTGCCCAATCTCACCTCCTGAGTAGCTGAGATTTCAGATGTGAGCCACCACATCCGGCTTGGATTTTAATTTTTAAGTAAAATCATTAAGATGCAAATTTCAGGTTTGTTGAGTTTTGTACATTTTTAGTGTTGCTCATTGGAAAATGATTGTTTTTTGGTGGCTAGAAATGGCAAGTCAACAAAAGTTTTTGTATCAGCATCTTTAGTCTTTCACTTTAGCAGAAGCCTGGGGTTCATTTGTTTCATCTTCAGAAGGAGGGGATCAGAGCACGGTTTCTAAATGTCTCTATAAGCACCAATAGTTTTTGGTTCTAGTTATGATTTAGGAAATAATATAGATTTAGTGAAAAATTATTCACTAATTATCTAAGTAAATGAGTAAGCCTCGTTTTCACAGGAGCTGAGTAAACAATGATAAAAATGAACTTGATCCTGAAATACTGGCATAGCTTTAATGACTCAATCTGTCACCAATGCAATGTAGCTGAAGAATAAGTGCAGCAGGAGGAAGTGGAGAGTGAGAAGCTGGTGTCCAATGGATGTAGGGTTTCAATTTTACAGATGAAAAAGTTTGGAGATCTTTTGCACACAAATGTGAATGTATTTAGTATTTCTGAATTGTGCACTTAAAATGGTTAAGTGTTTTGTTTGTTTGTTTGTTTGTTTTACAGTGCTGGGAGTTGAACCCAGGGCCTCATACATGCTAGGCAAGCACTCTATCACTGAGCTACTCCCCTAGCCCAAGATATCAAAGTTTATATTATGTGGTTTTTTTTTCCCTTAATCATAATTAACTAGTGAAGCAGCTCAAGGTAGAATGACAAAGTGTTATCCCCTCTGCTATGGTTTGCGTGTGTCTCCCAAAAGCTCATGTACTGGAACCTTAACTTCTCAATGCGGTAGTGTTGGGGGAGCCTAAAGGAAGTTGTTTGGGCTGGAGGTGGAACCCTCATGAAGGGGCAATATCTTTTTCATGTGAGTGACTTCTTGCTCTCGTTCTTATGGAACTGACTTAGTTATGCCGAAGTGTGACTATTATAAATCAAGGACTCCTCCCTCCCCACCGCCTGGCCCTGTTCTCTCTTCCCCAGGCACTTGCCTGCTTTTCTACTCTGCCATGAGCTGAAAGCAGCATGAGACCCTCACTAGAGGACCTAAGCCACTATAATCATGAGCCAAAATAAACCTCTTTTCTTTATCAGTTTCCGGGTCTCAGGTCTTCTGTTGTAGAGGAAATGGACTAAGACATAGTCTATGATCTGGAATGTCTCTGTGTTCTGTTTAGTCAGTCCTCAGAATCCTCAGCATGTAGTGAACTAAGCTTGTTTTCAGGTTGTTTCATAGGCACATATTCATGCTTTTAACCCAGAACCATCCCTGTTTGTGGGGTAAGATTGTTGGATGGACCACAACCTAATTTGAGTAGTTTTTGTTGGAAAAGGCTACAAAGCTGGAAAAACGGAAAAGGAGTAGAGACTTTTGATTCTTTTTTTTTCTTTTATTCATATGTGCATACAATGTTTGGGTCATTTCTCTCCCCTTCCCCCCCTCCCGCCCCTCCATAACCTACCCCGCCCCCGAGACTTTTGATTCTTATTGTGAAACCTTAGTTAATAATTTTTTGAGAGGAACAGATCATAAACTACTTAAATACAAAAGGTTAAATATTTAAACTAAGTATGAACTATTTCTGACTTATTATGAACTCTCTTTATTGTTGGAGACAATGCATTATAGCTGAGACTTCTAATAACATGGAAGGTCATATACTATAAACAACATTTTCACTGGAAACAATTAAAAATCTGGATAAAAGGTAAAATATATACATACATTTTAATACATTATTGAGCTGGCAAGAGAGTAAGGATTCCACAGAGGCCAAAATGAAATGAAAATGGAATCCAGAGACTCATTCCAAAAAGCCAGCTTTTGTCCTGAGGGTATTGTCCAAATGTTGCTGAATTCATGTGTGGAGTTTTGTTGATCATTGGAGACAAACTTGAGGAGACCTGCCCCAGGTAGAAGAACATAACAGGAAGCCATTGCCTGTAAAGTTGGGACACTTTATAGTGCACAGGCAAATCAAAAATACAAACCTGTATCACACAAGGGTACAGTGAGGAAATCAGCTGTTCCAGTGGTGGGATTGAGTGAATGGGGTAAATTGTAGCTGTGAGGCAATTTTTATGCAGGTCTGTGTCAGAATTTGTGTTACCTGTGTGACCTGAAAAGTCTGATGTTAGAAATTTATTTGAAAGTGTCCTGGACACTTCAGCAGAGGCATGTGTCTTCAACCTAGCTATTAAAGAATTCCCACAGATAAAGTGCCAAGTAATGTTAACAAAACAATCTTAAAAAAAATATGAAGAAACAAAGAATGAGACATGCTAATTGATCAGTAGCTATAATATGAAGTAGAGTCAGATCTCCAAACACTTGAAATGTTGGAATTACCAGATATATAGTCTAAAAGTAATGTTTTAATATGTTGAAAAAACAAAAGAATGAATTTGAAATGTGGACACAATGCAGGAGGCAATAAGATGAAAATTTGAGGAGGTACAAGATGAAATTTCTGATACTAAAAATTCGACACAAAAAAATCCATAGATAGGTGAAAACAGTGTATTAAGTACAGCTGAAAAGAGCATTTGTGGAGTGGAAGGTAGTTGTGAAGAAATTATCCAAACTTTGGCACAGAAAGGCAATGAAATGCAAAACATGGAGGACAAATACAAGAAACATAAAGGACAGGAAGAGGAGACCTGGTAGACGTGTAAGTGGATCTCCAGAAAGATATCTATCCTGGTTTGTTTTCTTTAACAGAATACCTAAGATTGAGAAATTTAGAATAGTAATTTATTTCTTGCAGTTTTGGAGGCTGGAAAGTCCAAGATAAAGTACCTGGTAATGGCCTTCTTACTGCATCCTCATGTGGAGGAAGGGAGAAGGGCACTCATCACTTCTTAAGACCCCACTTCTTAATACTGTCACATTGGCAACACCTGAATTTGGAGGGGCACATTCAGTCCCAGCACTATAAAAGAAAGAATACAATGGGAATAATACTTCAAAAGATAATAACTGAGAATCTCAAGCCAGACAAATAAAAATAAATACCTATATTACAGTGAAACTGCAGATCATGAAAATCAAAGAGAAACACTGAAGGCAATGAGGAGAAAAGATGACTCGACTTTGGAGGAGTGACAGGTAGACACTGACTCTTCTGCAGTGACCATGCAAGTTGAAAGACAGTGGAAGAATCTTTGCAATGTGCTGGAATGAAATATTTGCCATCCCAGAATTCTATACTATATTTGTAATAAAAGTAAGTTTTTATTCCATGGGATCCCTGAGGCCGCTCTTCTTCTTGCCGTGGTGTATGCTCATCTGCTGGTAGCAGAGTGCAGATAGTCTCTGACTTAGGATAGTCTGACTTGATGAGTTTCAACCCTGTGACAGCAGAATCATGCTTCAGAGTTTGAATCTTGATCTTTTCTTGGTCTAGAGACATGCAGTGCAATGCCTTCTCAAGGTGCTGGACCATGGGGAGCTGCAGCTCACAGTCAGCCACATACATTGTCATGAGCTTATACTCTACAGTGCTCTGTGTTGCTATGCTCTGATGTTTGATAGCTTAGGTGCACTGTGCTAAATGTTTTTAATTTATGATATTTTCAACTTAAAATGAGTTTTTAGACATACCTTATTGTAAGTTGAGGAGCGTCTGTACTTGTAAAAGAAACATCCAGTACCTTTGCCTATTGTGTTTAATCCAGGTCTGTTTCAACCAATATTCTTCATGTTCAATTTGTGTAACAAACAAGGGCAGCCACTGGCAAAGTGGCTCAAGTGATGGAGTGTCCGCCTAGCAAGTATGAGACCCTGACTTCAAACCCCAGCACTGCCAAAAAAGGTATAATCTGTGCAGTCATTGAATTATCAAGGCATTAGACTTAGGCCTGCATGTTGAGACACTGACAGAGTTGCAGCTCAGATTCCCTGAACTTGTGATGTTGGGATTTATCATTCTGGTCAATCACTTCCCTTTTAGAAATATTGTTGGTGAGGACACATTTTACACCAGTGAAAACTTGATGCCACTGACAATGTAGAGTGAAGAACACCCAGAATTGGTATGCCATCTCTTTTCATTGGCTGCTTTCACCTTACCAGAATTGGTCATCTGTAAAAATCATATTGAGGAAGTTCCTAAATGTATGATGGCAGTTGACTAAGTTGGAGGTAACATGAAGATTACAAAGGATGTTTTGCAGTCTGGGCGAGTGGCTCAAGTGGTAGAGTGCCTGTTTAGCAAGCATGAGGCCCTGAGTTCAAATCCCATACTGCTCTCCACAACCCTCCCCCCAAAAAATGAGGATATTTTGCTTCTAGAGGCATTTATAGCCTAGAATGATGTTTAAAAGTCCATGCCTCTGAGCGTATGAGGTTGCAAAGGGCACAATATGGGCTGTTGCTGTATGCAGCACAGAGGGCCTGATATCATCTGTGCTAATGGGAATGTCACCATTCAGAGACACCCAGGGAAGGGGTCTATGAAGATAGCAAGTGTAAGTGTTGAGGTCTGCTTCTTATGGACATATAGGGCATCATCAGTATGGGCTGTGTGTTAGATAATCCATATGGCACTGGGCCCCATGCTACTTTCAAGAAGAGTAACTACAGTGTTCTGTGTTTAACAAAACCAATGCAGATCTTAGTAGGAAATTTAAAATCTTTCTCTGAGCGTTACACGAGAAGATTCATCACAGAGTTCTGAAGAACTTACTACAGAACCTGATAATTGTATTCAAACTAAATTCATTCACAAAGACCACATCTTGCAACACTCCTTTCCCAGGCCAGCTACCACAAATGCAAATGAAGAAAGGAAAGAGCAGCAGCAGAGCACTAATAAAGTAACAGATGTGAAGCTGAGACAGGCAGGTAGCCTGTGGTAGAGAAGAAAGGAAGAAGAAAGGCTTTTAGTCAGAAGAAGCAGGATTTAGAAGGGAAAAGAGGCTGCTTAGTACAAAGACTCCAGTGGCTAAAGAAACTACCAGAAGAGGAACCCATGTAGAAGAAGCCTACTGTATAGCATCTTGAATTTGTATGCCTTCAAAGGTCACTTCAACCTGGACAGCTTATTTTGAATTTCTGGAGGTTAGAGACATGAAAGAAGTCAATGAGAAACAGTTTAAAAACTAAGGACTGTGGACTAAATAAAGACATTTGAGCCAATGAGGTAGTTAATCCTGTAGATCTGGACTAAGATGTGGGGAGGCAAATGGAGAAGTGATTCCAAACAGGAGGGCTGAAATTTTAGGATGAAGAGCAAAGAAGGTGGTAAATATGGGTAAATGGAAATGATTATGGGCTGGATAAAGTTAGGACTTTTCTATATGTGTCTAATAAAAGGTTTGGAGTTAAAATGTCCGACCCTAGAAAGCTGAGAATGGATTCTAAGTTCCCTTTATTCTCTATCAGGAGGATAGAGATATAGATTAACTTTATGGCTGAAATGATCAGTGTAACTTTGTGATATTTAGGATAGCTGGCAAAGAATAAAAACGAAAGGCTGAACTTTCAAACAGTTGGAGGAAAAAATGAAATGATTTTTTAAAATAATCTAAAAGGAGATAAGAAAGTAGAGAAATATCTAGAACAGGTAGTGCAAATCAAGAACACAAAGCAAATTTATAGACCTACACCTAAATGTACATCATACAATTACGTTAAATGGAAAAGGATCAAATGCTTCAGTTACTACCTGACTGGCTAAAAATTGCAAGTATTGACTTTTAAAAACTAAAGATACATTTAAGAAAAGGATAAAAAGATTGAAAAAAGATGGCACAATATGCCACAAAAAGTAGAACTAAAGGAAGTACAAATAACTTAATTTCTGGCAAATTAGATTTTGAGACTTATGCATTTAATTATAGTAAATGTTCTGCTTAAAAGACAAAAATTGTCTGACTAGATAACAAATAGAAAAAGAGAAAAACCTAAACATAAGCATATAGAAAGGTGAAAAGTAAAAGGATTTAAAAAGACCTGCCATTCGAGACTAATATTAAGAAAGCTAAAGTCACTAAGTTCGTATCTGAAAACAGGTTGGGCTCCCCTGAAGCACACACTGAGAAAGCCTTTGGAGGAGGGATATAGATGAGGAAAGACACCTGTGAAGGGAAGAAGGCTGAAGCAGGAGTGTACCAAGGGAGAGGCTGACCTGTGATGTGGCCTTACCACGTCTTGGCCAGTTGGGTTGGGGGGAAGCAGGAGGATATGTGTGGGGACGCAGGGCCTGCTGGAGTTGCAAGGCACTGATACTCTTCCATCTCTTCAGCTGGATGGTGGGCACAGGCACATGTTTGATCTTTGTTCTTTAGCTCTTAAGCATATGTTACAATGTTTTATATTTATTGAATATATCATTAAAATAATATTAAGAATATTACATTTCACATAGTATCATAAGACTTGGCTTATTGACCTGTCTCTCTGAGTGTTGGTTTCCTCCTGTGTAAAATGCAGTTATTTTTTGCTTAAAATGCTCCAGTGGCTTCCCTTTCCCTGTAAGTTTGAAGTTCAGATTCCTTATCATGGTCCACAACACCCCTGGGTCTAAGTTCTGCCTCCATCTCTGAACTTACCCTGTGTATCTCTTGCCTGTGCATCTGGCTCTGGCCTCTTGCTACTGAGCATCTGCCCACGAGGCTTCACACTGGCTGCATGTGCCTCTGATTAACCTGAAAGGTGCACAACCTCGGTTTGTGGGTATCTAGGCAAATGACATTGTTCACAGAGTCCTTTTGGTATTTTGTCCATCCCGCCCCAATGAGTCATCCTATTTCCCCCATCAACAATTTATCCCCTCTCCTACCTTTATTTTCTTCATAGAATCTGTTACTATTTCATCTTATTTGTTTGGTTATTTCTCATCTGTCACTGATGCAGTAGGAACAGCATCTTGCCACCACCATGGCCCAGACCTGGTGTGTAGAAGGCACTAGATAAATGCTATGAAGTGGGGATCCCCAGTTCTGACTCTGTTGTTCTCTGCCCTGCACTCCAACTCCACCAGTCTGCTCCAAAGAGGGCTCTGAGGGGTTGAAGGCACACGGATAAGGCAAAATACAGAGGATTTAATAAGGAACGACAGATGGAGTCCAAGGAGTGGTACAGGCCCACAGCGACCCTACCATCCTGCGCTGTGGCTGCTGGTGCAGCACAGAATGGACTGGGAGCTGCACAGTGGTCAACAAAAAGTACAGCAGCTGCGGTGTTGGAGCTGTGTCTGAACCCTGGGTCTCTGTTGTTCGCACATGACCTTCACTCTCCTGTCCATGAAGACAGGATGATGGTGGTCCCTGACTACAGACTTGCTGTGGGTTTAAATGGAATGAGGTTGACACATGTAGTACATGCTCATTAGGTGTCAGCTGCAGTCTGTTCATTCCCATGCTGCCTGAGGAGGACTACGTATTGCATTTATTCTACAGGTGAGGAGATAAGGCATAGAGAAGCCAAGCCGTGTACCATGTGTGCACTTCTGGAAGGTGGTAGCACACAGGAGACACTTTGCACTTTAAGAGAGATTATTTAGAAATCCTTTAGTTGAGACCTCTGCAGGGTCTATGTAAGCATTTATTTGGTTAAAACATTTTAACAAAACTTTTTTATTTTTATTTTTAAGGGGAGGTGAAAGTGAAATGAATTGCTGCCGGACACGAGTAGAACTTGAAGCCCAAGTTGGAGAAAAGGTAACGGGAATCTTTAAAAATGCTTCTCCCCTACCTTCAGTCAACCTCCATTATGAGCCGAGGTGGAGGATACAAAAAACAGCCACGTCTTTTCACCCTCGCTCTCACCTCGCTCTAGCTCTCTCTTCTCAGCCGTCTGGCCAAGTTGGTGTCAGAACAAGCCCATGTGAAAACTGGTGTTCCAATGACTCTGATTGTGGTGGGTGACATCTTTTGATGAATGGCACCAGCAGAAGTCCCAGAATATTAATTACTTTTGTATTGACTTTGGATTTTTGTCAGTAGGCCTGCCTTTTCTGTTTTTGTGTAAGACTGAGCAGGGTGTTCTTTAAAAAAAGAAAACGACCGCTTTTCAACAGTAAATGCCAATCAAGAGCAGCAGGGTAAAAATAACCAGTCCAACTCCAAGTGATGTATAGTTAAGTAGTGAGTGATTTAGCCCTGAGAGCTAGTACGTGTGCTTAGAAAAAGAGCATGTGGCTTCATTCCTCTGTCGACTACATTTTAGATCTCACCGTGGCTAGGGAGGGAAGAGATGGTAAAGTCAGGCAGGGCTTGGAACCGGACGCCTTTTTAAAATGCATTTGAGCCTGTCAGTTACATGAGCAGTTTGAGAATCATGGCTTAATTTACTTGATTCAATATGTTGGTTTGAAATGTGACAAATTTTCTTTCTTTTTTGAACTCTTCTGAGACTTTCATACATTTCAAAATCAAAAATAACCAGAGATCCACAAAATGTTCGCTTCAAGTTTGTGGGCTGGTACCATTAGCACCAGAAAATCCATCTTAATATGATTATTTTTTACAAGTCTGTGTGCCTACACCCTGTTTCATTTTCATTGCTACCATGGCATAATCATCCTCTTCTTCTGCTTTAGTCCATCAGTTTATTCTGGAAGAAATACCTTAGTGTGATTGATACTATTTTGGGGCTATGTCTTTTATTTGGCTCTACATAAACTATGTTAATCATGAAATGCTCCTGGGAAAGTCAGCTGTTTGTGACAATCATACTGGCAGCATAGATATTGTTATGGATCGATAATGGGGCAATTACAGTCAGCGTGGAGAGAGCGGACATGGGCTAGAATTGTAACTTACCAAAATAAGGCTGAGAGGATCAAATCTGAACGGGAGCCCCATCGCTCTCCAACCTTCCCATGTCATTCCTTTTCCATTTCCACCTCCTCCCCATAGAAACCTTCCCAGTGAGCAAATTTAAATCAATGCCATTTTTGTGCAACGTCTTGTGAGGACAAAAAGATAAGGGTAGAAGTCCGAGGAACAGGCAACAGAGAAAATACTCATTCCAGGTCATCCCTGCCATGGTTCTAGCAAACAGAGACTGCAACCCCAATTCTACCTATGGCCCAGACTTTGGGCAGGCAGGTGAAGTGAGACAAGACTGGCCTTGGACCAAGTCAGACCTAGGTTTCCATCTTGAGGCTCTGCATTTACCAGCCAGGTAGCCTTAGGCAAGTCCTTGTCCTTGGGTTTCTCTGTCTGTCAGTGGAGATAACAACACCCACCTTGAAGGGCTGTGGTTAAAAATATCCAGTAATGAGCACCTGGAGCCCTGAGTGGATGCCAGCTGCTGTTCTTATGCCAACAACTACAGCTTCCTTCCAAGGAGAGGTAGGAACACAAGGAATCACATCCCTTCCTCTCCCCTCCCCCCAAAAAAAAGAGACTGACTGAACAACCAACTCGCCCCCACCCATGCCCCATTTGCTATGAATGGTAGCATGTTTCCAGTTCTGACTCCTGTCCTGGTTGTGCTCAGTCATATGTAGTGCTGGCACCTGAGAATAGCCAGGAATTTTAAAAGTGAGGTTCTTTCTGTACCCATGTAGTCAGTGCTGAGAGGTAGATGATTGTTTTGATTTAACTGTAAATCCTCATGGCTTATTGGAGCCAAGAATGCATGCAAATGCCTCTGAATTTGGGGGTGAGACTTGGCTAATACATGTAGACTAGCCGTCTTAAACCAAGGAGTAATTAGTAGTTGGCCTCCCAAACTGACTGTCTGGTTGTGGTACTGCCTAATTTTTTCTTGTTTAGTGAGCTTCATCCAATAGCTGGTTTCTCAGCCTCTGCCTTCTTCACGGTGTTCAGACCTTCCAACATGCGTTCACGTTCTTTTTAGTTTTCCAGTGGAACCCTTGGACTTTCTGAGCCTCACCTTCTTCCATCAGCCAGGGAGCAAGGCAGGTTGGATGATCTCCAGGCCTCGTCTTTGTTCAGTAACTGTGCTGCATGGCTTCACATAGATGGAACTGGTCCCCGTTAGTGACCTAGACCAGCCCTGGTTACCCCTGGTGTGGCAGCTGGTGCCCTTCTGTGAAGCACGTGACTACCCAAGGAGGGTGCATAACTGAGCTGGAGAGTTTTGTTAGGAAGGACAGGGAGGGGAGGTGAATGGATTCCGGGGGAGCCCACAGCATTGCTTCAGCCTCCTGAGATGGTCCCCCCAGGCTGGCAGAGCCTTTCTGTTTTGGACACTAATGCGATGTTTTGGATACTAATGCGATGTTTTGGATTTTGCCAGCTCTAGTCATAGTAACTATGACCAGCTAGCCTGGTTGAGCCCTTACTAGGAGTTCTTCTGAGAGCTTTACTGTGTGAAATCACTTAGTTCCCAAGAGGTCCCCGCAAGACAGGTGCCACTGTCATCCCATGTTGGTATAGGGGAGACTGAGAACAGGGGCAAGCAGCCTGGCCGAGGGTGCACAGCTGGTTGGAGAAGTGTAGTTTCAGCCTCACAGCCTGCCTCCAGTGGCCTTGCCTTAACTCCATGGGCTACTCTAACTCTTGAGGGCCTCTCAGGAAATGAGTTAAGGTTGACTTTGCATTCAGCCAATGTGACTATTGGTCATACTCAAGGCAGACCTGCTCCCCACTCCCTCTCTGTCACCATTACTGTGTGAGTGAATGCAATTGTTTGTTCCAACAACAGGGCTGCCTTTCCATCCATGTAGCATCTATCCCATATAGGCATCTGGGAGCTGGTTTCTCTTCTCTTTTGGGTATCCTGTCTTCTCATGCCTTATCCTGCTCTCATCTCTTGTGTCCTCTGTCTACCCTATAGGACCTAAGCTCCAATAGGAACAAAGTTCAAGACCTCAGACTTTTGAGGTAAAGACACTGTCAGGGAAAAAAGGGACAAGAGTAAATAAAGTTTTAGTGTGTTATCAGGCTAACACACTTGGTCTTTTCCTCTGTTTTATCATTCGTTGACTCCCATGTGAGGTACAGGTGGAAATGGAAAAAGAGGCCAATGAGGGAAGAAAACCTGGTCCTGCTGCTCCAGGGAGTTCCTGCTAATGTGGCCATGTACAGGGAATCACTGAGAAGTAGGGAGCAATTCTGATGAACATGGGAGCACAGCCTGTGGTTTTAAACATCACGACTCTTCCCCTTTCCCTGCCACACACAGAAATGGTTCTTAGCTGAAGACTAGAATTCAATAATGTAATTCAATTTAAGAAGAATTAAAAAAAAAAAGAGCTCCAAAACCTCAAACTGTATTCTCTCATACCATGTCACTCTCCAAGTCAGGGGAATTCTCAAAAGATAAAAAGGCTCCAAGGCTTGGGCACTGTGATGTGGGAACATCTGGTCTACCCAGTCAGCTGTGACTAGTGTGTCTGCTGGACACTGAGTGATCCGATGCAAGTGTTTATGGGATTACCCTGGTGCCTTGGAGTTGTAGGATTCAGCCTTAGTCATTTTAGAAGCAATTAGTGAATAATTGTAGGTGCTGAGCTGCTTTACTTGCTCTGTAATATCCTCACGGAGGGGAGACAAAAGTGACAGGTAGATTTGTTATCCTAGATAGGTGGATTTTCTTTCAAAAAGAAATTTAAAAGTTATTTTAAAATAAAGAAACCATTGTTACACCCACCACCATTTCTTAAGCACTCCTTAACATTATAACAATGCATTTGTGCAAATGAATGACTATAATGCAATGTAGTCACGTTTGCCTAATAAAAGGCTGTGTCCAACTCAAACCAAGGCCATGTACTAAAACACAACAGCTTTAGGTCAATCTCTAACATTCCCCTAATCCTCCTTCTGTCAGCTTCTCTTTGGTGCACTTAGTATCAATTGCCTATCACAGCAGGTATTTGAACACATCTCCTCTTTCATCTGAAGAAAATATTAGCATATCGCAGAGCTGTTGGGACAGATTGTATCTGAAGCACTTCTTCCTCCCCGCAGAAAAGCCTATCAATCATAACTGAATATAGTGATTAATAATGTCACAGCTTTTCTCCCTGGCTCTTTGCAGCTAAATGAAGAGTAGTGCTTACATTTTGATCTAGAGAATCTCACACCACAAAACAATCACTTGCCGTTTTATAAAAAAATTATATTGAAAGTATTTCTACCCTAGAACCTATTTTTGGTTACTCTATTATTAATTTACTGAAGGCTTCATGAGGGAACTGCAGCAAGGATTCTGTTGTATCAGAATTTATAGTTATCTTAGACTAAGTTTATCTTTTTTTGTTTTTAAATAACATAGCCATGCATATGGCAAATTAGCAGTACAAACACAAGGCTGGGTGGGGTAAAGTTTGAACAGCATGGTGTTGGGAACAGCCTGGAGCTTCCATGGACTTCGCAGCCCCATGTGCATCTGAGCACCAACACCAAGTGACCCTGAGCAAGCTGATCTCCCTTGAGGCTCTTACTCACTAGTGAAACTGAGAAACAGTATTGGAAGGTTTCCCCTATATTGTTGGGATTCCCCTATATTGTTGTGAGAATAAGGATAAAATGAGCTCCCCACAATCGTACCAGGCCCATAGAAGTTACCAAAAAAGCTGGAAGTAAGCATTTGAAAGACATGTGACATAACTTATGTGGGAAGTGAAGCACTAGTATATGGTTTACAGCTACAGAGGGGAAGGATAGGAGGGCTATATGCTGGCAGTACCCACATTTACATCTCCTTTTGGGGCCACAGACTTGCCAATGTCCACAGGGTA